GCATTGCATGCTCTATATTTCCATTTCAATGCATTATTTAATGATAAAGGGAGTTTGGAGAAAGAGAGGAAGATAATTTCATTTGGACAGCAATCAGAGAATTTCTGTAAACATCTGGTTCTGTTTAAGAAGGTTTATAAAGCATTTAATATAAAATGCTCTTAGAAGGTAGGAAATGAATGCTGAGTGTTCTCACTGTGTAAGCAGTGCATTTTCCCCTCCTGGAAGTTTGCATACAAGTGAACTTGAGTCAAGTTTATAGATAGGTTTCACAAAGATGACTTGGCATTATCTAGTGTGAGTGAGAGAGACTTGCAAGAACAACAGCTAAAGTCATTAAAGACCTCTCTAAAAAAGAAGTTCAAAAGATAATAAAGCCCAACTGGATACATTTCAAGCAGCTGGATTTCAGTAATTGAACGAACATAGTTGAACAAGTAGTTAGAGATGAAAAGAGTGTAGAGAATAAAAATGGAGACAATGGAAAAATCATGTCACAATGGTCTAGCCTTTTTCTCATTTGGACAGGACTCAGTAGATAACTTGGAGCATTGCCTATGTCTTTGATATTCTCATATTAAGTGATATGCTCAAGTGATAACACTGAAGAGTATGTTTTTAGCACAATTCATTATTAATAGCACATTTTATTGTCTTGAAACACTTCAGTCACATTTTTTTATGCAGTAAAAAGCAATGTTCTGAAAGATAGAAATAGGATTAGTGTCACAGCTGCAAGTAAATGCACTTGATTTAGAGAATATATTGAGTAATTGCAAATTTATAAGTGTTCATTCATAGAGGAAATAACATAGGCCAAGAATGAAAATCATACTTTTCGACCCTACTGCTCAGGCCTTCCTGTTTTGCAGGTCAGATGCTGTTGATGCACACAGAGCAGGCTGTAGTCAAGGTAGTCCTTCCTATGGGGGTTATTCTTGGGTCAGGTTTTCGTTTTAGAACAGAAACTCTAAATATATCAAAATAGACTAAAGACAGCCAAATTCCTCTCATTTTCAAAGCAAGGACCTCAAAAAGGTACCTGAGGCCTTAATAAGCAAACACGTTTTGAGACGACTTATAGTATATTAAGTGTAGATAACATTTTATACAACTCTTTTGAGATATGTATATATATATAGTTTTGTATACTGTGACCATTTGAGATTAGCCCTGACTTTTGGATTGATATAGGGTAGTTGATGGAGGACTGGCTCTTCCTAAACAAATTTAATCTGAACAAAGCACCAAAAGAGGTTGAGCTTAGAGAGGGGACATTTTAAAATTTACTTTGTCCCTAGGATTTCTGTTAGCTTGCTGTTTGGTTTTTCTTAAGAATCAGTCCTTACAAATTTCTTTTGTGCTTCTGCCTTGCATTTCTGGTACAGCCCGATCCAGATCTAAAGATAGGGCTGCAAACAAAGAAATTTTGTTTGTTTGTAAACAAGATTGTTTGTAAAAAGAATACTCAGAACAAATAATTGCACCTCTTCAAGTTTAGATGAATCTCCACTCTTCCTCTAAATGGACTACCAGCCTTTTCTTCCCTCTTTCACACAGACTTTCTGACCACAGAATTACTTAGTATCTAAAAGTGGTCTAAATGAGGGTCCAGCTTGTGGTTTTATTTGTGTTGGTGCAACTGTACTTCAGGAATAAACAGCTGTTTCCTCCTTAGCTAGATGGAAAATGTGGGGCTGGGGTTTTGCTGTCAAAGTACAGCCTTGGCTGTATTTACTTAGCACTTCCTTGTCTATTTTAATTCAGGTTTTCTTTCATGGTTATGCAAAACCTGAAATGCCAAATCACGATTTTGTCACAAAATCCAGTAATTTTGGCAAGAAAGCAGCTTCAATAGCTGTTAGAATTCAACTCAAAGAATAATGGTAAAAGACAAAAGAGAATTTGTATTTCAAGCCTCAAAATATAGATGCATCACAAGCGTCTTCTCTTAACAAGGACATCCTGTGTTTTCAGAGTGCTTGCACAACAGAGTAACACCACCTTTCACTGGGGAGAAAAAAGACTCTGTATGCCACTGGTACTGAGAACTGTGAAGAGTAATAAGTTTGTAACACAAGAAACATTTGATGAGATAAATCACCCAGCTTGATCTCTTTAAATTTTACAGCATGGATACTGGAAACAGGCACTTTTTTACATTTAGAGGTAGGGCCAAAAAGAGAACACAGACAGCACAGTTTGCCTAATTCATAACATGGCAGATTTTGGACCCACTGGGGCCCACACTAATAAATCTTCCAGGGACAGTTTAAGATATGTCTCTGTTCTCTACCTCACCTTCGGATGGAGGTTACTGAACCTGATGCAGGAAGAGCAGGGTGAGGATCATGTGCTTGTGTCTTAACTCCCAGTGTAAAACAAATTTCATGGTCTGGAAGGCAGAGATTTGGACACGTAGTCCCTTCTGCTGCCTCTGCACTGAGAACAGTCATGAGCTTGTAAATAGTAGCCAAGAATAGTGACTTCTTGAATCAACTCAGGAAGATTTGCTAAATGGCATGACAGACATTGAAACTTGCTCTAGGGGAAGGAAATTTTACTTGAGTCACCTGTTGTATATACTGTGTTGATGGTGAATAATAATAGAAAAAAAAAGTTGAGTAAGGGGAGGGTTGAAAATAAACTTCCACCCATCCCCAGCCACCTCTCCTCCCCACTGCACTTGCACTGGGTATAGTGGTAGGGTGTGGTACAGCATCTGTCTCAAAAATACCACCCTTAGACTTGAGTCCAGCTTTGCCCACTGCTTACAAAGAGTAGATCATTCCTGATAAGGAGATGCTGAACTGCTTCCTGTTCCTAGTTGTCTGAATTCATAGTGGCAGGTATGTTATCCCAGCAAGAAAATACAGAAAAAACAATGATGTCAGTCATTTTCACAACTCTGTTCTGGTAAAAATAACTGCTTAACCTGTAAGAACACAGAGGCCCTTCAGCTGAACTACAGTGACAGTCCTATTGCAGTTACAGCTTTATCACCTGTGCCTGGCTCTTGGTGAAGGAAAAGCTCAGCATCTCTCCTCCTGGACACACTGCATAACATGTGCTTATGTTCTAGACTACTTGCACTTTGGATCATAAGGAAAATTAAGAAGATTATTAACACTTCCAAGCAGTTATTACTGTGTTACAGGGATATATAATCTGCTTGCTGCATACTTACAGGTGTATATATATAATTTTCAAAAAACATTAGAAGCATAAAGAATAAGCCAGTGGTAGGAGTTATTACAGTGGGAACAAGGTTTTTGTTTGTTTGTTTGTTTGTTTGTGTTCGATTTTTCTTCTGTAGAAGACTTCCTTTGGGTAGTTTTTAATTCATAGTTTCATTGAATATCTTACATGGAATAAACCTGGGTATCATGCATGACTGGGATTGAGTAGGGAGAAAGGGTCTGACTTTTCCAGCAGCCACTTCTGTTGGATGAGTATGTGAACAGGAAATAATGAAATACTTTCTTTTCTATTTAAGCCTGATCCCTTAAGACTCTGCATAGTTGTTTTCAGTTTTTCCCTGCAGATCATGTTTACCTCAGTTTTTAACAGGTTAAAGCACAATGTCATGGAAAAAAATGCACAAGAAACATGTATATTGGAAGATGCTATAAATATGATTAGTTGGCAGCTGGTTATTGCTCTTGGTACTCTGTGGTTGAGAGATCTGTCTTTGAATTTGGAAACTTTTGGAAACTGTGACCTCTCTAATTTTGGGTAGACCATTTAAAGGGTGTTAAAAGACTCCAGGTTACCCACTTCAAAGTTGTACTGAGGAGCAAGGACTGTGGAAGTGCTTAGGCTCCTCATAATGACCAGGAGATTCAGTCCACACAGCTGCCAGCTTTGTGACAGTGAACTTGGAAGCCTGACCTCTGTGTCTGTCCTGGAGCCAGAAAGCGTTGGTGTCCCTAGCCAGCTGTTGTGGTCCTAAGGAGGATTTGTAGGAATTTGATTTATCGGAAATTTGCAAATCATAGATGCTTAGAGAGAAATACTACGCATTTGCCCTGTTGATACCACTTTGATGAGTCTATTGTGCTGAAATTTTTCTATGATTTCTAATTTACCTCAGAAGTTCATTAGGAGGACTGAGAAATGCCAGCAGCTCTTTCCTGTTTCCACCCACAGGCACCCCATGCCAGCTGTGTGCAGATTGTCTTGTGCCATGATTAGGCTGTGATTGCTCAGCATTTCCATTTACACTGGCTCTGCACCTCCCTGTGATTTAACACCTTAATATTGATTCTATAAAATAATTTATGGGATATTTTCAGGGATATCTTCCAGTTCTCTTCTGTTTCCAGGGGGTCCCCTTCTTTAAAAGTGGCTGGGGTAAACCTTTGGATTTTGTAGCACAAATGGAAGATATGTTTCACAGCACCATACGCATGGGAATCAGAGAAAGGGAGTTCTGCTAAGCCAAAACATTTTCTGAATAACTTGAACTTATCTCTTTTTACAGTCAGATTGCCAGAAATAGTCTTGGGACTTTAAGAACCTCATGTATCCCTTGAGCTGCAAAGCACTGTCAGTCAGACTCTGATGGCAGAAAAGGAAAGTAGCATTGTTTATTTTTGGTTCAAAACCAGGAGGAAGTTTTGGTAGAAGCCACAAGAGGATCTTTGATTTTTAAAAAATTATTAGTATTATTATTTTATTCTCTGTTTGAAACTGCTCAAACTTTATTATAGTGCTGGATCTTGAAACAATCAGAACTCCTTGCAGCAACCAATTCTGTATAGCTTCTAAAAACTTTTTTTTCTTTTTACATTTCAGTCAGTTTCTAATCTAACATCCTGTTTTTCTGCAGCATTTATCTGCTCCAGTGAAATGGTTCAAGGAAATTCCATAATCATTAACTCTCTGTCTGCATTTCCATGATGACTCTTCTTTCCTAGAAATTGAAAGAGGACTGCAAAACTGGTTCAGTGCTGAGGAGTACTCACTTTTTTTTCTTTTTTTCCTTTTTTTGGCTATAGAAAATTGTATAGAAACCTAAATCCCATCACAGGTGTGTACCACCCAGGAAAGAATGCAACAATGTCAGCACATCCCCAGCTTATCCCTGGTTTCATTGTTACCTGCTTTTGAATCTGCTACCAAGACGGAGTGGGACAGACTTTAAGATGACATCAGACTGGTGTGATGTGCCATTTGTATCACACTGCCATGTCAGGGGGGATATCTCATAATGATGATGAAATATCAGGTAATGCTGCTTGGCAGCTGTAACACTTCCTGCATTTAAGAGCTGCCATCCACCTCTGTTTCACAAAACATGCTGAAGTTGTGTTCACAAGAGCCAGCAAAGCCATGGAAAATTTATTTTCACAGCATTACCGCTCCTATTTATCTCTCATCTGCCTCCTTAATTCTTTCCATTGATTAACACATGCTCTTGTTTCTGGTTCAGATATGTTGGGAGTTGCCTTTATGAAAAGGTTGCAAAGCAAAACTCACAGGAAATCCCTCTATCCATTACCTGTCCTGATGAGCATCAGGGGTTATGACATTTTGCTTCTGATTTATTGCAGGAATAAATATTTTCCACCTTTAAACTCTCATACCATGAAGAAGACCCTGCCTGTTTATTATGATTATGTTGAAGTATTTTCTGTTTGTGCTAAGGCTTTTTCTAAAGTTATGTATAAGCATATATGTCATTTATGCTTTAGAGAGGCAGGTTTTGGTAGTTCTTATGACTGACAAAAGAGGATTAGACCTTGAACAGTAATTGAAATAAATAGATGAATATTTAATTTAATATATGAAAGGGCACCTGGTTCCTGTTCATGGAGTAATAGGAGCAATTGACTTGTATCTCATCTAGGCTTTTGTTCAAAAGGTTTGTAAACTAACTAATGGAGATATTTTAGGATTAACTATCCTTACACAACATTTATGAAGTCAGACTTGTTTTCCAAGACAGTTTCAGTGTTAATCTTTAAAAACTCTGTAATTCAGATAATATACTAGTATGAACATAATGTCAACCCATAGAATAAAAGCACTGAGAATAAAAGCATTTTGAAGTACAGAACTGATATTTATAAATGAACATTAGGAATTATCTAGTTTGAAATTCTTTTCAGCTGAGATTTCTATATGCCACCCTTATCTTGTATCCAAAAAGCTAGAGAAAAAAAATGTGCAAGTTCAAGAGCTGGTAAGGGTTTGGTAAGGGTTTGGATTTGCTTGAAGGCCTATGAAATAAATAGACCCAATGGGCATTAAACAGGTTTATCTTGTTAATGTTACTGTTCAAAACTATTGATATGTCCTATAATACTTTCCATTTGACTCTTCACAGGGATGAACAAGTTAAAAACCAGACATTTGATTGGACTCTTTATCGAACAGTCTATTGGTGAGGGATGGCTTTTGAAAGCTTGTATATCCTCCCATGAATACATTGGGAATTACGCAAAACTTAATAAATTAGAGCAAATTTCATGGTTCCAGTTTCTGAAACTGTTCTGAATGTGTAAAAACAGGAACTGTGATCATATCAAAAGTTGGTTCAGTCAGTTCTAACAAATGAAGCCTGTAGACTTTGAAGTAGCATTTACTTGGTTTTCCAATTGACTAGTGTGTCCATTCAAGAGTAAACAGAAACAAAGGTGTTATTTAAAAGGTAATAATTTAGACAAAGAATCAACAATGTTGGATAGAATTTTTCCACTTCATAAATTTCAAGCTGGCATATTTTAACAGAAGATTTCTCTGTTACGCTTATTACAATAATTTTAAAATTAATTCAACTAGTAAAACAAACAATGTCTCCTGTAAAGATCATTGCCTTGGTTCCATGTTGACAAAATAGCTATTATTGATGTAACTAGTCTAAGTAGGGTCTGGCTGTGTTAGCATATGGGCAGTGACTGGAGTCATCTCAGATCTTACAGACTGAATTTTGAATGGACAGTTTTTTGTATTATCAAGGGGGTTTTTAGGTTTTGGGTTTTTTGGGGGGCTTTCATTTGGTTGGTGGTTTTTGGTTTGGTTTTTTTTTGTTTGTTTGTTTTTTGTTTTTGTTTTTGTTTGTTTGTTTGTTTGGGGTTTTTTTGTGCGTTTGTTTTGTTTTTTTTTTTCATCCAGATTTGCAGTAATTGAAACAGCATTTATAGCCAGAGATTCCTGGAAATATCCCCAAGGATTTTGTGTATGGACACTTCACAGGTGAAAACAAGCTAGAGTAGTCTGTGGCCAAGACATGGAACCAACCTGTTTGTTTCAAAGAACATAAGTTTGTTCTTTCCACAACTTTTGATACAGGTCAGTGATTCCATTAATGTCACCTGATAAGCAAACCATGGCCTTTATAAATTAATGATCACATGCCCTTGGAAACCTAGCCCTTGTTTTAATTTAAAACAGAAGTTCTTTACTTCTGGAAGGGTGTTTTTCCTCCTGTTTGGAAGCAATCCACTGTATATTATCTTTCTGCCATGGTATTCCCCGAGCAAATCCTGGAAAAGATTGAAATCCTGTGTTAATTGCTAGGTAGGATATACTTAATAATTTTACTGTGATTTGTTGGATGGAAATATATAGTATGTTATTCCAAAACCAGAAAAAAGCCAACACATAAGAAACCAGAGCATTAGAATAGCTAACTTTTAGAACAGCACTGAGAGTATTAAACAGTGAAACTACCACTTCTTTCCTAGTTCTCCACATTGTAGCCTGGATATTGATACAATTGAAAGACACTGCTACCTAGGAGAACGTAAATATGGATTTTTTACTATTTCTGCATTATAAAACCCCATAATTTTTGTATCAATAATAACACTTGGAGATGGCTTGATCCTTTCAGAAGAATCAGTAGCTTTTCTAACATCTCTCAAAGCATCAGTCTAGCAGTGTGCTTGGGGCACACATACAGGCACGTAGGGCTGTAACTTTTCCCTGTACTTAAAAACGTGTCAGCCTCACTAGGCTTATCTAATCCTAAGGAAGGAACACTGTAAAGCTGCTTTAAAGGGAAAACCTGAGTTATAATGAGTGATTTCATTTTGCAAATCTACAACCTCAAACCTTTAGTGTTTATGGGAAATTAATTTTCATTAGATCTGTCTTCTGCATAAAGAGAAATTTAAGCCATCTAACAGGCAGGGGTGGGAAAGTGAAGTTAATGTTTCTGACAGGAAAACCTGGGCGCAGAAGTTGTTCCATTCATATCATGTAGAAATTCAGTCAGATTGTTAGATCTGTTTCACACATACATGCACTGTACAGTGCACCATCCCAAACCTGGAATTCTGACTGATTTGGATAGAATTTATGAATGGAGGTGTCAAATTCAGCTTTTTGATACAAACTATAAGACTGTTGAATTCAAAAGGAGTCAAATGTGTAATGGATGAGTGCACCCTAGCATTGAAGAATACTGAGTGCCCTGAGTTTACTCTGAAGTGAGCTTACTCCAGGACACTTGCCATCTCTGGGATTCCTAGTCCATGTTACACATCAACAAAAGAATTGCCAAGATAAGAACCAACACTTGAGTTGAGGAGCTGCCAGGGACACTAAAACCGAGTGCATTCAGGTGAATCCCAACCTCTCTGGGAGGTGAAGCGCTATTTTAAATCTTTCATGAAGTAGAAGCTTTTGAGTTTGAAACTATCTGCCTTCCAGTTAGTGAGAAGGATATGAATATTTTTTTTGATTCTGCATTGGTACAAAGTTTTGAGGATATTGGAAAGTCTGTGTAGAGCCCAACCACTCTCTCTCTCCATATATATATATATATATATTGGTTGAGTTTTCTTCTACCAAGGCCTGTGGCTATCCTTTAGTATTCCTCACCTAGACCTTAGGGCTGGTAAGACATGTGATAGTGTGACTTTTTACTGTCTGTATCCTCTTATGCTCAGCATGAATTCCCCTAACAGAAGCAGGGAGCATGAATCTGGTCGCTTTTTCTGGCTGTGACGTTTAATATCCTGAGCAATCCTAAATGTGTCCTGAATCTCATTAATTTTCCTGATTGTTTGTGAAAAATGAGCATCACAGGAGCTGAAATTCCCAGCTTGAAGTCATAAGTAATGTTCTATTATATATTTACAGGCTCATAAAAAAATAATAAACCCCCTGACTGCTCTGAGAATGGAACAAAACTGGGAATGAAATGATGGAATTGAACCTCATGCTTTTCAGGGTAGCCTTGTTTACTGAATGGACTTTCCAATCCTTGATTATATCTATATTTATTTATGCTTGACGATGTTTTATTAACAACTTGAAGGGTATGCAAGTTAGACTTATGACAGTAGTCTGTTCTGTAGGCAAGGAAAACAGGTGTACTTTGGAAGGCCAGCCCTGGAGCCTGGCTTGAACAGGCAAGTTGAAAAGAGACGCACAACCAAGTGTGTACAAACGTCTCACAAGGGCTGTCTGTGCCTGCAGATTAGGAAATGGTCAAATCTCATATCAAAGCATTGAGATGCAAAATATTCCTTCTTACCAAGCAGCTGGGTCTGGATTACAAACCATGCTACTCATTGCCCCTAATCCTCTGTGCACAGTTTCCCTGGATCTCACCAAAAGTGAGCTCTGAATACCTTGTGCAGTGGGGGCTTTACAAAGATACTTTCAGATGGCACAGGCAGGTTCAAAATAGAGCAATTTCCTGTGTGAGGCATTGATGAGACAATAGATCCCTTTATGAGGCCCTGTTTGACTACAGAAATGAACAATTGTTCACATTATATTTAATAAATCCCTTGACACCCTGTTAAAAGGACCTATGTTTAGCTGAAGTCTTAGCATGAATGTACTTCCAGAGGTTTAATGACCTTTCACTTTTCGAGGTGTTCTTTATTTAAACTAATGAAAATGAGCTCCACTTAAAAGGCTTTTAAATGCTGATTAAAAATTAAATCAGCTGTTCATTATCCCCAGGTGGCCTTGTTCTAAGAACAGTAATTCAGAGAGAGTCAAACAGGTAGTCTTTTTTTTATGTAGCTCAATCTTGAGTTGGGAGAACTTTATTAGAGCTGTTTATGAATCATCAAACTTTCAACTTCTAATGCAAGTGGATTTGTAAACATAGGGCTCTTCCCCTCCATTTCTGTCCCCTGTTTGTTAGAAATAAGAAAGAAAATCAGGCACATTTCTAAAGATTCCATGTGGCATGTCCAGCAGAAATGTAAATAGCTGCAGTATTTCCAAACAAACCAAATATTGATCTAGTCACTGCCATCATATAAACTATAATATAAACTGAGACATTAGTTATAGAATGTCTCACTTCACCTATTTGCTTATTTTGCTCTAGGGTTGGAAAAGTTTCAGAAGCATTTACAACACAAATGAACAATGATAAAACCTCAAGGGATTACCTTTGTTCAGATCCAAGGGGGTTTTGTGTTTTATTTTGGTTTGTTTGTTTGATTGATTTGGTTTTGTGAGGTTTTGGTTCATTTGTTTGTTTTTATTATAGCCGCTGAAAACTCTGGCCTGGGGTTTCAGTAGTTAAACATTACATAAAATGCTAAGAGAACAAAATCTTTTTTTTTTTTTAATAAAGTTTATAAAGTATAACTCAAGGAACACTCACTGCTTGAACACCAAGATAGTTTTACACATTTTTTTACTTTAGATAAAGAACTTCCTGATCTTGAAATGCGAGCTTATCTAGTAAGAGATATAGTTGGACAGAGCAAAATACTCGTGATCACTTTGAGAAAAGATAAGGGAGCTCATTTTTGAGAACACTTAGACATGAGAAGAACGGAAATCATGTTATTCCATGCAAACTCCTGTGTTCCACCACAGATAACACTTTCCTTCTTGTTTTCTATAGTCCATACTACTCTTTGCTCTTTGTTCCTTGTAGCAAAATGAGTGCCCAAAGGTGCTAGGGGAAATATGCTGCAGAGTATTAGGGGAGCTATGCAGCACTGTTACCTTGGTCCTGCTGCAGCAGGAAGGATGGAAAAGCCAGGCCCTTGTCGGCCAGAAAGTTTGAAATTACCTGCCTTGAACAGAGGCTGCAACCTCAGCTCCTGTG